GTAAGTGTCACTGGTTTTGCTGAACATAGAAAAGACGTCTGTATATAGTGGAGTTCATAAATAGTTGGACAGTGGCACAAATTGTGTTATTTTGCCTCGGCTCTATGCGCCACACATTGGATTTGGATTGATTGAAACAATGACTATGAGGTTAAGGAGTGGTCTGTCAGCTTTAATTCAAGTATATACATCTATATTGGGTGAACCATATATGAATTACTGCTTATTTTATACATAGTCCCCCCATTTCTGCCAACCATAAGTAATTGGACAGTTGGCTGCCTGATTGTTTCTTGACCAGATGTGTGTAGTTGCATCATTGTAGTTGCATTATAGCTAACAAAAGGTCTACAGTTGTGTCTACAGTGGGTAAGAACATGTGGTATTTACATCTAGAGTCACTTGTAGTTGTTTCTCAACATAAGGACCAAAGAATATGTTAATGCTATTAAAGCAGACCATCACGAACCTGGAAAATTCAAAGAAATGAACTAAAAGACATCACTAACGAAAAAAAGGAAAGAGCAACTGACATCTGAAGACCACAGTCCCACTAAACAATTAAAGAAAGACTGTGGAACAGATCAGAAACACAATCATCGAGATAATCATGGATGTGTCAAAGACTACCACACTGAGAAGAACACATAAGCATGATGTAAGTATTCACCACAACATCCAGACCGCTACAAGGTCTCAAGTACAAAAAGGCCAGGATTCAGTTTGCTAAGAAGTACATAAAATGCATGTAGAATCCTGGAAAAAAGTCTTATATAAACACAATCACAGCAGCAAACTATTTGAAAAAATACTTTTCTATGTCTATATATATATATATGTCGCTGCTGTCAGAGCAAAACCTAGTATCTCTGTTTTTTGTCGTTTTTCAGTTTTTGACGTAATTTGAAAATGTCTGTCTCCCTTTACATTGTGTGTAAATATCACAATGAATGGACCAAAAGAAACAGTCAACAATTCCTTGTAAAAAAGTCTGGTTCCATTGACTTACATAAAAAGTAAAGTATGCTTTTTTCCTTCTCCTGTAAAGTTATCATTTTGGAGATATGAGGTGCAGCTGCTTTTTGTAGCCAGCTAGACATCTTTCTATTATTGTTTTAGGAATTTTCTCCCATTCTCCCTCGCAGAATACATATAGTTTTGTGATATTCTTGGACTATCTTGCATAGTTTAAGATTTTCAATCATGTTCAAGTGAGGGGACTTTGAGGGGCATTCCAAAAAACTTCAGCTTGTTTCTTGAAATAGTTTGTGATGGATTTTGAGCCATTTTTTGTTTTTTTGTCATGTAGTAGAAACTAGCCTCTTTTCATCTTCAGTTTCTTGAGTGACTCTGTCACATGTGCTTCCAGCATTTGCTGATATTTAGTGGAATCATTGTTCCAATTACCTGTGCAGTGTTTCCTGTGCCACTGGTTTTTACACAACTCCAAAGCAACATGGATAACATAATAGAAAACAGCAAACACCCCCACCACTTAACAGTTGGCAAGGTGTTCTTTTCATCAAATGCTGCTCCTTTTTTCTCAAACACACCTGTGGTGCTTGTGGTCAAAGAGTCCCATTTTTACTACATCAATCCACAGCACTTGTTTTTTTAATGCCTCTGGTTTATCTAGATTTCAAACTTCAGACGTTGACCTTTGTGATGAGGTTGCAAGCAATGTTTACTTCAGATGAGTCTTCCATGCAGATCATATTTGTGCATGCTGCACTGTGTTGTACAGTGGTGTGTCACCACTCCTATGTCAGCTAAACCTTCTTGAAGGTCCTTTGCTGTAATGTGGGAGGTTTTCCTTTGCCTTTCTGGCCAGCAGTACAGTCAGTTCTGTGAGAGTTTTCTTGGTCTTCCAGATTTTTCCTTGACTTTACAGTTAACTGGCATTTCTTAATGACATTTTGGACAGTGGAAATTGCAAGCTGGAAGTACTTTAATATTCCTCTTACTTCTTTTCACTTTCACCTTTTTTTGGGTGTCTTAAATTAAAGCATATATTTTGCACTTTAGCCTCATAGTCACTGTAACATTTCAAATTCAGTGTACTAAACCAATACAAGAGGAACTGTGTCAGTGTCCAGTTACTTATGAACTGCACTGTATGAGTCCACATTTCCAGAAGCTGTTATTCAGATACTTAACTTAAACTTTGCACTGTCATGCGTGTAATTAGTGTATTGAGCTTTATGGTGACAGCCAGTTAAAATACTTTAAAAGAGTAAAATGCCTGATTTACCATGAATAAGAATAGTTCTGTAATAGGCACCTTTTCTTTATGCAGGGATTTTATGTTTCACTTGCTTTGACCAAAGACTGTGAAATTTAGATGACCTAAATCCATTTCAGACATTAACTTTCATCTCTGTTTGTACCTTTCTATTCCTCCTTTAAACCTCCCTTTCCATCCTCCATCCCTTCCCCCATCCTATCACAGTTGTTCGCTTTCAATTTCCATAATCCATTGCACAATTGAAGTGTAACCTGCCTTACGTAATAAATACAGAATGCTACACTGATGATTTTGGTATTAGGAGCATTTGTGCTCAGACTAGTGTGTGTGTTGGTGCATGTGCGAGGGCCAGTGGGTCTATAGAGCCTGAAGTAGATCCCCTTCTAATGATTGGATTATAGAGGGATCAGAAAAAATAGAATTCACTAGGGAGTCTCTCTCTCCCTCTCTCTCTGTGTCTGTCTCTCTTTTAGTGTCTATCTCTCTCTGTTTCTATCTCTATCTCTTTCTCTGTGTTTATCTCTCTCTCAGTGTCTTATCTCTCTCTCAGTGTCTTATCTCTCTCTCTCTCTCTCTCTCTCTGTCTCTCTGTGTCTAACAGTCTGTCTCTCTCTGTGTGTCTATCTCGTTCTTGGTGTCTATGTCCCTCTCTCAGTGTCTCTCTCTCTTTCTCTCTATTTGCTTCCCTCATCCCCTCTCTCTCTTTCTCTCTCTCCATATATATGTCTCTCTCTCTCCCTTTCTCTGTCTGATTGTGTCTGTCTTATTTTCCCTCTTTCTGTCTCTATATATGTGGTTGCCTTTCTCTCTCCCACTCTCTTTCTCTCTTGCTCTCTCTGTCTATTTGTGTCTCTCTTTTTTTTCACTTTCTTTCTCTCTCTCTATATTGCCCCGCGCTCTCTCTCTCTCTCTCTCTCTCTCTCTCTCGCGGGTTTTTTGAGAAGGATTTGAGAAGGTTTTGCTCCATCAGGTTGTTTCATCTGTCAGAAAGTGTCTCACTATCTGAGACAATGCTGTCAAACACATATATATGTATAAATACACACATGCAATGGAACAAGAAACTAGATTTTCTTCTGGTCTATCTCTTCTGTAAAATAAAGCACAACCTAATTTCACTGCCCAATTTTGATGCTCTCATGGTCAGCTTTCCAGACCGGGATTAAGCGTAGTCCTGGAGCTGCATTTTATTTTCAATGGAGAATCTTCATTCAGAATGCTGTGTAGTCCAGGAATATGCTTAATCCCTGTCTGCTGGGAATCAGACACTGAATATCTGTATTATAATACAAGGCCAAGAAATCAGTTCTGATTAGAGATATCCTCAATCTTGGGGAGGATGTTATAGATTTACTTGAGGTCAGTACATTTAAATGGGCATTTCAGCCAAAATGAAAAATTGAACAATTCCTTCTGTTGTAAACATGCCTACTCACCTCCTGTGTGGCTACTACAACAGTCGCCAGAGTGAGATTTATACTGTGGGGCAGATACAGGAGTACGGGCTATTTGAAATGTTTTTTTTTTAACTGTTAGCTGGCTATTGAAAAAGGAAGCCAGAAAACTAACGTTACTGCTAGGAAGCCAAAGATCACATCTGTATTTATTAGTCTCTACATCAGTGGGCTTGGACAAAATGCATGCTGGATATTGTTGTAGTAAAAGAGCTCTGATGCACAAAAACACAAAAAAGATGAAAATCATGAATTCTTTCAGCCCGAGGCTGAGGAATACAGTGGTGCACTGCAGAATAATATGTGACAAATAACAAATTAAGTGCTTGTTTTAAGGCTGGAATGCTCCTTTAAACTGAAGTTAGAGGTTATATAGAATCTACAACCAGTAATTGAAAATTACCTGTCCTGTACTTATTCTGAATCTTTTAAGAACACCTGGATTGAGTGCACAGCAATCATTTTATACCAGTTGATGTCCACTAGAATGAGTTTAATTAGGTTATTATTCTGGCCCTCGATTGATCAGCAAGGAGGAAAAAAATAAAAGAGCTGCAAATTGACTTAAGTGCCAACCTTTAACTTTCAGAATTAACAGGGATTACCAAAATATGAGCACATCTAATCTTCCTACAGCTGTAGAGAGGAGCACAAAGACGTGTATCTGTGTGTGTTTATTCATGTGGAAACATTAGGATATTCTTCCTCCCATGCAACCAAATGTGTGTATGAAAAATAAAAAAGGAAAAACAAATCTTATCACTGCTTGTGAGATGGATCTTTCATGCCAGCTTCCAAATGAATGGAAGCTACATGTTTCTGCACTTTCCGCAGCTAAGCTATTTATTTAAGAGTTGCAGAGTTTTTTTTCCCACACCATGCCAATTTTTTTATTAATATGGTGCGGGCGCCAGGAAAATGTATGCACAATCTGATCTGGCCCCCAGGGAGAAACAAAGAAGTAATTAAAATAGATGGCAGAAGGAAATGGAGGTTGGCTAAGGCAGGCTAGCATTACAGAATGACTCGTCAGGACCGCTGCTGTCATCTTTCAGACTTCACCAGCATGGCCAAATGAAGAGAGCCATGAGCGGGGCATGTGAGGTAGCAGTGGCAGTTTTCACTACTCGCTAAAATTTTCATGTTAACAGTTGAGTGGATGCAGTTGCATTTGCATTATATATATATATATATATATATATATATATATATATATACATGTATATATAGTTCACTGGCCTGTAAGTAAAGGCTCTTTTCTTTTATTATATTCTTTTATTATATTCAGACCTCTTTGACAA